CCCCGACATGGCCCCGTCCGTGTATACATATCAGGGCCCAACTATCGGCCCTCAATCGTTTTATTCAAGTAACCTCTCATTTTAATTATGATGGCAGAGACAACATCATTCGTAATTTCACGCAATTTCCGGCTTGACAAAGAGGTACACGCTCGAATATCCACATGTATTTGGCAAAGTAAAGAAATACTGCGACTGATAACTCACCGGGAAACAGAAAAATGGCATATGAAATTATGCGACGAACTTGAAAGAAAGACTGAACAGATCCAATGGAAATTGAAGAAACTTTTTAAAATCAACAAAGATGAAATTCGTGGAAATGGTCACGGTACGATGACGTGTTCCTAGTCTAGTAGGTTTAGATTGACAACTGTAACACATATCAAAACAGTTGAACATTTACAAAATGATTAATTTGCATGACAATATAAACAGTATACCTGGGCCTTTAAGCGAATAGACTGTAACAAATTTTAGCTGTCGTGTTTCCTGTTTATTCAAGAAACTAGTACCTAAATCATAACATCAGTGCGTTGTCTTTTCTACCGCCATGCTCAGATTTGCGACTGTTTATTTATTTTCTCCCAGCTCGACAGTATCATGCCATGTGAAGAAACAACACAAGCACAACACAAAAATCATTTTCAGCCATGTTTTTTTATACATGTACCAAGGAGCTCCATGCATGTACTAATTATTTGAGGACACTGTTCCGTTCGACTCTGATCAAACTGAATTTGCAGATCTCAGCTCTCGTTCGGCCCGTCCGTGTAAATCCATTGGAGATAATCTCTTATTCATCGGTTTAACCTCTATGATCGGTGGGAGGAGCAGTAGTTCAGCTCCACTAGAATGCTGCTGTGTGAACGTACTATGATTCAAAGAAAAAATGTAGTGCGGGGGGAGGGGGACATTGTGAAATGTCAATGTTAAGTAATTAAATAAATAAATTAATATTATTGTGTGTATGATTCAATATATGTTCTTAATTACTAGAATATGACAATGTCATATGTCACATAAATGAATCCAGCAAATAATATTTATATTCCACACATAGCTATGAATCAATCACATTGCGAATAATTAATAATTTACTCCTTATTCTCACAGTCGGAGCTACTTCACAATCTCCCTAACGTTACCTGGACCAATCACAAACAGGAAAAGACAATGAATTTTTGGATTAGCACCTCTGTTTTCCCCCCATGGTAACCAATCTTTACCCACGCTAACGAAAAAATCTTTTGTTTTCTACTGACTTCCTGTTTGGTCCGTCTGTGAGAATTCATAATTTTTACAGTTTTACAAATGATAATCAAACATAACAACAATGAACTAATTTTTTACATACCCTTTCAACTCTGATGCCGAGTGAATATAACTGCTTCGATAGGAAAAACGAGTTGGTGTCTTGAGTATGCCCTTTCAGAATCTCGTCTCCAATAACTATAAATATAAAATATTGAAAGAATATTAATTAGGCAAGTTATTTACAAGTGATCAATAACTCTGCCAGTGTTACTGTAAGGCTACGGGCTAAGCGTGGAGCTACGTTACGTACTCCGTCATGCAATGGGATGGATGGAGATGCGCGGTTCAGCAGTACGTAAACTTGTTCAGCAGTTATGATTTAAAAACCGTCGATTTCAATGATACAAATACAACAAATACGGTCATGTCATAAAAGCACCTGCAATTACGTACAGTCATTCGTGTACTGTAAAATTGGCAACTGAAATAATAGATGTTAGGTATGTTACACAGTAATAACCTTGTGTAGAATGAAGAGGAAATGTAAAATGTGCACGTACGGGGGTGTTTCCTAGAAATGACGTAATTTCCAGAGGTGTGAGTCAACCAACAGGTTTACGTTAATAAAAGTCAAAGGTCGCCCGTAGTAAATAACAATAATTGTGTACACACTTACTAATTATACCAGCAGTAGGTCGACTTCCCGACATCGTGGGCACTCTTAGCAAATGATTTACAACGGTAGAAAGACGGCGAAATGGGACTTTGCCTGACAAGTGCGAGAACACATTCGCCGACATATCAGTCGGGAACATCAGCTGATGTAAAGGTCAAAGTTTGAAAATTGAACTAGCCTCGATTTCGATATCGAATTCCGTCATAACAAAAACTTCTCGAGTTGAAATGATATTCCTTACTTTTTCCGGTGCACGACATAAAATCTATATAAACACGTCGCACTTGCTTCGTACCAGTGAGAAGTAAAATTATATATATATGGCATAAAGTCAACATTGAATATTTCATTGCAAATTTATTACTAAGTATCGTGATTTCCTTGAAGTCAAATTTGAAAGTAAAGCTCGCATGTCATTTGTTTATATGAAGGTTTTCTGTGTTATTCACACCTAGTCTTGGCACGTCAGCAGACAGGTGTTAGGGTACAGTGGTTAGCACCCTGAATAGCATTACCAACATAATTCAGGCGTAGCCAACGAGCAATAAATTAAAATAGTCAATTCTCTGGGACAAAATTTATTTGATATGATATTCACCAATATCGGCAAGATTTGCAGATTACGTAGTTACTAGGTCCTCTCTATTATAAGCGTTTACTGCACGCCGTACATTACGATATTCGCGTAAAAAGGGGTATAGTTTTCAAAGTTTGCACGTACGCAAAAAAAAAGTTGTTTTGGAAGTTTCGCCTGAATCAAAGACATCAAATGCACAGAAACATTCGGACAGAATGGATATTTCACTAAAATAACAGTGTTTTGATTTTCCAAAAAAATCAGCATTCATCAAAACGGGGGGGGGGTATTTTTTTTTATTTATTTAAATCGGTGGAAAGGGGTTGTATTTGAATACTCGCATGTCATTACAGTTTGAAATTGGGAGCCAGACTAGTAATAAAGTGCATGTGGTCTATCTGTGGTTACTTCAAGTGTGTATTCATTAGGGTCGAAACTAGTAATAGTATCTCTACAGTGCAGAGTCATTTGCCAAGCTAGTTCCCAGCACACATTGTTCCTTTGCTGGCAAACAGTGAAGACTCAAATTACTTGGATGCGCCACAGTCCCTCTATAGATATATACCGGTAGATAGAACGAGGGACTGTGGAGGCGCTCTTTCAAAGCACTAGATTGAACCTGTGATTGGACTGTGATTGAACCACTGTTGCTTGGAGTTTCATAAACTGGATTCTAGAATATAACAAACCATTATGTATATGTTTTGAATACAAAATGTATTTATTAATCTACTACAAAGTAAAATACATAAAACATGAAAATGCACAAATAAAAACAAAACAGAAGAAGGAAAACTACACAGGCTTAAAATGGCAAGACACGCTAAGCTGCTTATTATGTACACATTTCTGAGACGCATTGACTGCCTCATCGCTATTTTGTTAAGAAACCGTGGACAGATCTACAAACACTAGTTTGCCAACAAATATAGAAATATGATGCCTTGCTATTATAGTATTGACATTTGTACAAAATAATCTATGCAAATTAAATTTGGACAAAAGGTACATTTCCCAATCTCAGATCATCTCCATGCTCAGATTTACTGGAAGAGCAGGATCCCTAAAAGAATCCCTAAATACGACTTCTTCAGTTATAATAATGTCTAACAATATACTACATCTCAGTCCCCAGAGACTGCGACTACCCATATGCTTTGGTGTAAGGACAAACGATTTCTCCTATCTCGTATATCTCTATAGTTTGGTACATTTTTCAGTTTTTAATACATGTACTATACATCTCTATTTTCAGTAATTTTTTACTATTTACATTAATCATAACTGTACAATTGGTTTTCTTCACAATAGGTTACTAATACATTATTAGTAACCATGACAGCAATATACCCCTGTGAATACAAAATGCCCCAAATAGAGGACAATGAACTTCAGGAGGCTAGTCAGTGCAGGTTATTCATGTTGTCACTCAATTTAGACTCATTTATTTCTTCTTATATTTGATACCCAATCACTAGCAGCCAATGACTAATTCTCCGCACCGACATCACTGTATTCCTAATTTCATGGAATGAATACATTGCAGTGTTCTCCCCAGAAAAACTGCATACAGTATCTGCCAATTTACATAACAATAAAATATGTTAATGACTTCTATTGTATTTAACATTTGGGACTCCTACTCTACAATGCCCTGGGGAGAATCCTGCATTGTTTTTTTTAAGAAGACAACAGAAATAAGTCAACCCTAAAAATATTTCTTTTGTAATAATCATGTCATTTTCATTTCACAAATGTTTTCAATCATGAAGAGTCTATGGGTCACTGGAAAACTAATCATACAGTGACTAGACATGCATTTTGACGATGACCAATCAGCATTCCAAGTCACATACAATGAAATCACAATTGAAATATTATTCTTATTAAAATTATCGATACTACGCCCTCTATCTATGATGTGATGCACTAAGGAGTTAGCAGCAACATGCAATAGTACACTATATAGCAAGTCCCAGAACTGTGACTTCTGCAATAGCAAAAATAAACTTACAACTCAAGAACATTTACAGCTAGTTTATGTTTACAATTAAAACTTAAAGCACGTAAATTTATCCCATTTTTAGGCACTATTTAAAACAATCTCATACAAGCCCTCCATCCAAACCCAAAACTCAGAATAAAGCCACTGATTTGAGACGATATTAAAAATAAACACTTCTTGTTACAAAACTATTAAAAGACTGTATAAAAATGTTAACTATTTGACGTGTAACATTCATTTGCAAAGGCACATGGCGGGATGTATAAAACTTTGTATTGTTCAAATTTGGCATCGTTACAAAATGGCGCTGAGTTTGAAAACTTTGACAAAAAATGTTCTCACCATTCTGATTGGCAAAACTGTTAGCAGAAAACATAATTTTTTCATTTCATAAACAATTTGTTAAAGCATAGTAATACTGTTAAAGCTTTGCTCTTGTCTACAATATATTATGTCAATATTTCATACATTAGAATTATTGAAAAGCATACAGAATTCTAGTGAATATATAGTGGTACATTCTAATGACTTGGTTGCTATGTAAACCACACATTCCCAGATATCAATCTGTAATCACAGAATGTGCAAGATGAAGATCCAAAAATGCCAAAAATATAGTTTTACTATATCACGCTGAATATGAGCACTGCGAACAAAACTCATCAACGAAACAAAGATTGGCATCCGTCAAATCAAACAAAAATTACGGCACCACAATATCATCTATAAACCAAAAACTGAAGCATAATACAATTAAAACTGGAATGGATATTCAATTTATAAATTTTTGATTTTAAAACTTGAATATATATTTCATCATGCACCAGTAAACCATTTATGTCCAAGGTATTTACTGGTCTTCCCTGTATTCATAAGCGAACGCTCAACAAAGGTTTTCCCAAAGTGAATTACCGGTAATATCTAATAACTCATTCATGATAATTATCATAAATATATGCCATTATACAAATTGTTTTGCATCTTTTTAAAGATACAATAAATAAAAGAACTGACAATTTTTGCTTTGATGATGTCTCAATTCTTTCAAATAACTTTTTTGGGAATACTGTTGGCAAATTTAATGGAAGTTTTGTTTTCAATATACAGTACACAGTACATGTAACAATGGACACGTTTTGATATTATTACAATGTTGCATTCAAATTAAGTGTAATAGATCCGTTATCAAAATATAAACACCCACGAATGAGCAGGTACATAAATATGATATATTTCATGTATTTATGAAGTTTTCAATGGGTTTAATTGACAGTAGAACATGATACAATGAATCTAACAGTTTTCAGTTAAGAGACAGTCCCTGTAAGTTACTGCAACTGAATTAGAAATACTAATATTACTACAGTAATATATGGCAGTGATTGTAACTAAGTGATGATAAAGGCACAAAGGAAAGTTCATATGTTTCACAGGCACATTTAGTTTATGTAAATACCTCCATCTTTAATTAGTCAGAGTGTGAATGGCTTTGACTAGCCAGTAATTTGAATCATATCCCAAGATGTATTTAAATCATGATTCATGTATAATAATTCATAAATGTACGACTGAACAATCTGACATCAATTCAGTGACAAACATAAAATCAAAACAAAAATAGGACTGATAAAAGATTAGATTTGAACATAAACATTTTTGTGTTAGTGTTTTCAGTCTTCATAAATGAGGCTTTTGAGTCCTTGTAACTGAAACAGATTAATAGAAAATATTACACCAAATAACCATTCAGGTTGCTTAAAAAACAGGCATCCGTGAGTGATGCAAGTATCTGAGACAGTTGACAATAATAATAAAAACACTGGTTTCACTCTAAAACAAACACTGAATAGATAAAACATGATTTCAGAAGGCTGGAAATAAAAGGTTTTGACACAAGATTGACTTGTAGATTTGTCTTCAAACAATATATACACAACTTAACTTTCGTAAATATGCTAGTGGACTCTACAATGGTAAATGTTAGACAGGGTAGGCATTTAAATACAATAAATGTTTGTTAATGTACATAAGAAAAGGTATCAAAGCCAAGAATATGTTTTTACTCTGATTTTGTTCAACAACTAAAAACATGAAATTAAAAAATATCAGAACAACTTTATAATGTAAGAAAAGTAAAATTTTAGGTAGAACTGATAAACACAAGAATCATATCGATTAAATAATTAGTTTTCAATTTCATAAAATATCAACTGCAAATACTTTTGACAAATTCTTCTCAGGTTCAAGTTTTGAACTGGAGGAGTATGAGTTGCAGTTGAAACACAGAGACAAATATCGGAATAAAAATAAATAAAGCGATTGATATAGATATCACATGTTAGGGTTACAAGAATAAATAACATTTATTGGAAATTAAATCAGGAAGATAAAACTAAATATTGCTGGGTTATCACATCAAAATAAGGCAGATATGTTTAGATATTCAGGCACACATTGGTGTAAATAAGTGGGAGAAAAGAGGAGACAGGGCAGTAGGAATTAAAACACTGATTACACAGTGGAAGTAATGGCTTCATCAAACATGTCTTCCGCTAACATATTCTGTGAAAGAAAAATAGAAAACAAAATGTTTTTAACATACTTTGAAACAGATGCAAGTAGAGGATTCAGAACGTGAATGCTTTAGCCAGGCAATTATGATTTCATCGTCTTGAAAAGCAACTATTATCTGGCTGTGCATTTTTTCCATATTGCAAATGATAGATATATTTCCACAAAAAAATTATTTATAACGAGACTTCAACACAAGCCATATCTACATAACTATTAGCTTCAAAAATCAGCATAAAAGCTGTTGTACTTACAGTAAGTTTATTAATATCTTCTGAGAACGCACCAATTTGCAGTACAGCCCCCTCATTCAACTGTGAAATAAAAACAAAAGAATCTCATTAGAAAATTATGGACTATACCCTCAGCTATCAGCATACAAAAACTATACATGTCCCTGGGTAACCAAGATGACCTATTTATACTGACCTCAACTTCGCCATCCTCTTCCCCATTTTGCCGGTGTACCATATTAGCACTGCGTATATCCTGTTTATAAGTATGCAAGCTACCATTCGTATGTTGATTTCGTGGCTGTGTTCTCGGGACAGTTGGCATTTCTATATTCATTGGACACAGGTAGTCTTCAGGCTCGCATCCAGATTTTTTTTTTCTTGCTAAGCTGGGTGTTTTCTTTTTGGGCTGGAGTAAAATCAAAATATTATATTGTTAGAGTTCCAGTATCTTGTGTTTTCTTCAGGAAAATATCATAGTGTAAGCTCAGCATAAATTTATCCCAAATTATACAATGTGAAGTACACTATAAGTACATCCTTCATAATACCCAAGGAAGAACTCTGCTTGCATCTTTCTAAATCTGAAACTGTCAAAATTATTAATTTGTTCACACATGTCAGGTAACAAGCTCATGAACAACCAAATTTCTGCCAAGAGATTTCTCAATACTGTGAAATACTTTATTTTCGCTTGGAATTTATTTTCGCTATTTTCACTGAAGAAATGATTCTGTGAAAAAAATAAAGTAAAATAAATAAAGTATTCTACAGTATATAAATCAAATTTTTATCCAAATCCTGATACTATACACAAAATAGATACTGTGATTATTCAGTAAGGACCAAATGGGACAAAAAAGCAACAGGTATGACTGATGATTTTATAATGTATTAGCCAAAAAACTGAACTGAACAAATTGCAGACTCAGATATAGATTACTGTATTTGTTCTATTAGAAGTGCATCTCCGAATAAAGAACATATAAACCAAAAATTGCATTTGTTGTACACTGACTTATTGGAACCATAGAAACACATGTGCTACTCTTAGAAAATTTTATACGTGAATAAATTATCAGCTGAATATGACGTTTGTGGACAACTTACTGTGAAAATATTAAAGCCATAATAAAATTCAATCAATTCACAATTTTAACAACTATGTCAATTACCTTGACTTTTGCCAACTGAGAAAGTGGTATATGCCCCGGTAACAATTCCAATTCACGTTTCTTAGCTTGACAATCAGCACCAACCAACGCCACAAAATGTGTAGTCAGATGTCTTCGGAGTAAAGTTTTATTTGGTGGAATTGATAACAAGGTGGCTAAGGTTTCTGCTGTAAAACTTGGCTCTAGTACCTGTGTAAGAAATGTGTAAGTGTGTTCATAAATGTTGTATAAAGATTAGATGTGTTAAATTAGTTCTATTGTATATTAATCACTGTCAATTACTTCTGTATTTGGATAGTAGTTTTATCTAGATTTTAATGGTATAACCCTTCGTTACCAAGGTGATATCAGGCACCCTGGAAAGCACCAATATGCAAAATCAGTTTGCTCTTTTTCCTGACCAGTCCTAGCACCTAGTTTAGAAACTGATTGCGAGTATTGTACAAATATACAAGAAAACAGAGTTGCATAATTTTTTACCTGAGTAGTCGTATGGATTTTATGAAACTTACATTGTTGTTGTTATTTTGTTAAAAACTCATTCACTGCCACAATTTATTTTACCCACCAACATTTTAGAAGATAATATATTCACTGTAAATGTAAATTCATCAGTAGAGTTGAATCCCCAAGAGAGAATACGATGCTTTGATCAAGAATTTCAAAAGGAATTTCCAATGCCACTATTATGGATTATTATTAATTGACTTCTATAACATTACCAGAAGTGCACCATGGACTCCGCTACCTCTCAAGTTAGGAACATACTCTGATAGATCCACAGAACGTAACCATTCCATTACCCGATGACTTGTCCATACCATAACTTCAGCTCCATTCTGCCATGACTACACAACAACACATACAGAAATATCAATGATGATACAACAACAGAACATGTTGGTTAGACAGCTAGGTGGGTACAAGTAGGATTATATTAGTGCAGGCAGCAAGACAAAAATCATGCCCGCAACATCAGTATTCAACGCAAATCGTACAATGACAAGAAAAATATAGCATTGGCAAGGAATATGTCTGAGAAGCAGAACAATAGCAAGGACAAAGTTAATTAAAATATTAGAGTAACACAGAACAATATTGATGAAAGTTTCAACAATTTAAAATATAATTTTACATAAATTAAAATTTTATATCTATATTTTGGAACAATATTGAAATAAGATTCGAGTAAAGAAACTTGTCAAACAAAGACGAGGGTGTTGGGCATGCGCAGCCATTTTAAGTATACAGAGCTTTAATTTAATTTATTAAACCTGTCAATATTTTAACCTAAATGTTTTGGATGATTATAGTGTCATTGGTAGCGTACAGCACCAGCCATGTCATTGGTAGCGTACAGCACCAGCCATTCTGTGTCATTTTTAAGTCATAGTACAGACATCACAAGACGCGAATATTGTAGTCAGCACATGCTTAGATTACGTCAGCAGCCAAATTTAATATAGGGGATATTATGAGTGAAATACTATATGGAACTCAGGGAAACACTGTGGATATATGGGGAGGAACAGTGAGCGGTGTATTAAATAGAGGGAGGGTAGTCAAAAAGTGAATAAAGATTATAATTTAATTTACTTTATGTATAAAAGGAGACCACACAGAACTCATAAAAGACAAATTTAATGCCATAGCATTCTTGATATTCAGATAGAGTTGTAATTATTAAAATATTGTTGGTTTTGGTTGCTATGGTCACATATGGAGTATTTTGCATCAGGGAAGTCGAGTAAATTTACCCATTCAGAGTTCCAAAGGAATATCTGCGAGGCATCTAAAGTTTGCTGCAGAAAGAAAAGAAATCATGAATGGAAAACAGAAAAAAAGTATGAAGAAGCAAAAAGCACATTTGAAAATATTAGCTGAAATCATAGAAAATGAAAATGTGAAAAGTAAGAGAGGCAATTTTTGTTTGACATCATATCCCACGATAATGTAAAACAGGATTTTTTTATAAAATTCTGGCATCATACCTACATTAAAAATAGCATGAATGTACTGTGAATAAAACAGAATGAAATAGCCACAGCAACACTCGGCAACAGCACTATGTAGTGTTACACGCACTCGAGCAACTGACTCGAATTTCTTTGATGTATAAATGTTGGAGAGTGTACATACATGTTGTTTAATTTTATTTATAAGTTTTCCATTTGCCATACACTAATTTAAATAAATGGATGAATGAATTGAATGGAAAATGTACTTTGAATTGATATTCTAAGTCTTCATTTAATGTTGCAGTAGCAATCTCTCGACACACTGTTGCTATTTTTAAACCTTTGTGTTTGCAGAGAGATTACAGCAGTTGCCTTCACGTTAGTCAGGGCCCACTTGGTACCCACCCACACCCCAACTGGTCCCCGCCTCCTTCATCAATCTATTATCTGACCCAAACATGGTAAACGATATGCATATGATGATAATAATAATTGGTATATTAAAATTATATCCATATGTTATGGTTTTATGAGTCATCGTAAATATAAACATTTGTTCACGTTGATGTAACATTGCACCTTCATCATCATGTCATACATGTATGAATCAGTATATGTTCTCTTAAATTCACCACCAAAGGCGTAATTTGGGTTTGTGCCAAGCGTTCAGGCAGCAAATCTCAGCATGTGCCAAGTTTCAATCCCGAGCATTTATCAGGACAGAGTTTTTTTTTGGCACATGCCAACTTGTTCTCACACAAGTTTCGGCACGCACCGAGACTTAGGACAGAGATTTCTAACGTGGATGCCACTAGTAACAACAAACGACAGATGTATGACTGAGTATTCATATTTTTTGAAGCTAATGTTCAAACAAAGACAATGTACTAGTATGTTGACATAGTACGAATATTTTATATATAAAAATAAATAAATAAATAAATCACAGGTTTTGAGGGATGACCAACATTGCATCTTACCTCATCAGTTGGTCGTCTTTTCAGACAATTAGGATGAAAATTCTGGATACGTAAACACTGAATTCCTCTTTTTAAACTGCTTTGATGTAAAATATTAGTAACTTTCAAAAAATACAAATCATCCTGCAATCAAAACACAAAATAATTTTGAATAATACAAAAATCAAGATGACCATACATCATATTTTTTTATAATTTAATATTTTTTCAAATCCGATAGTAAGAATCATGACCATGATTTTGAATCAATTAAAATAAAGTGGAAGTTATGATCCAATTTAGTGAATACCGTAGATTTTTATACACATAAGAAAAATGTCTGAACTTACCACAGTCATATAATGTAACATCCTCCCATCAACCCTTGATTCATTGAAGGAATCCTTGTACTGTGGTAACCCAACATCATCCAGCCACCTTGTCACCCAGTTATAGTCAAGTTCACCCATTTTATCAGGTTCTTCAGACGCTGTTGCTCTCAGAGCAAGCTGTAATTTCTTTCGATGCAATGGATGTTTAATTCCAAGGTCCTACAAGTATATTATACAAAATTTGAGAGTACATTACAAAATCTTTGACTGTAGATCACGTCTCAAAAACTCAGTCAGTCAGGGTTTGTATCTCACATCCACATAACAGTAAAGGTAGAGATGAAAAATGCAGTTTTCAGCAGTGGCAATTACACAAAATCTTAAATAAAATTAATTATTTTTCTCTGGTTATAAAATAAGTATGAAATCCTGGAAACTGCTGTACTTCTCAAGTGGAGTTTCAGTGAATTTGTGTGAGAACATGCAAGGTCTAAAAAGTAAAGCATGCACAAACATTTCAGTTGCCCAGTTACATGGCTGACATGAACAATAATTTATTTTGTCTGACAATCTAAGAAAAATAATAGTAAGCCCACAAAATGCATTACAAATACTAGCACAATTCTATCTGGGGTTTAAACTTACCTTTTCTAGGAAATGCGGAGTTGCCTTGATGAGGGTAGAACCATTTCTAACACACTGCTTACATGCACTGACGTACTGACCTAATCCCATTTCATGTAACCATGCTGCTACTTTATCAGAGTCCCAGTTAGCAAATGGCACATCAATATCACTGAAATAATATATATGTACACTCAAACATTGTAATGATGATAATGAACATCTTGCAGATTGGTTCTTCAATTCCAGGTGTAAATGCTCTATTGAACTATGACCCTCACTAAGAGGTGTACTACTGGCGCAAGCTAGCTAGTTGTTGACTTTTCTGAGTCAACAAAACGTTAAGCGTTAAGAACAAAACAAAACAGAACACATTGATTAAGCAGCACCTTGCAGCACCTCCTGACAAATGACTTCCACTATCCATTCATTGAAAGTGATACAGCCAGTCAGCCACATTAGCCATAAAGAAGCGATGATAATACGTTACAAAGGTGACATACCGGTATACTGTTTAGATACGCCTTTAAATTAATGACTGATGAGTTTTTCCCTATGCACCACCACTGTTGTATTACAAATTTTCCATGATACAAATATCATTAAGTGGTTTTCCACATTGATATTTTCATGTTTGGCGTTGTTAGTCTGCATATTTGTACTTTCAAATATTATTCATAACTGATTGATTGACTGATTGGGGTTTGATCACTCACTAGTGGTAAAACTACAATGTAACCTGTGAACCAATCAAAATGCTTTTCATATTTTATCTTTTTTTCGACCTATTAAATCATAGTTTGCATTCATACTTTGATTCAAATTGAAATCAATCATTGTTTATGTAACATGTCTTCATCAGAGATGCTGTTTCATGAATTGAACACTTGAACAAGTTTGCACGAACAAATTAAGGCACCACTCAAAATTTATTCAATCAAAAAATAACTTGATGTGTACCTGTACACTATCAATACCTGTCCCTGTACCAACTCTGAACTGAATTGGATGAATGAGAAAAAACTAGTAACGCATAATTGCACACACGGACTTGACTCAATTTATAAGCCCCCTTCAGATTCCAGATCCGTTGCACTAACTCACTTATGGTTTTTAAGATCTTTTGACCATCCCAGTCTTGCACCTGCAGTAGAGCGCAGACGGCCACCACGATTAAAACCATTATCATCTTCTTCTTCAAGGTTTAAACTACCCGAACTGCTTCGCCTCAACCTGACATTGATACAAAACAAAGTACAGATTAGAATATTATTATAATCCAACTTTACGAAAAATTAACTAGTGTTAGTTATCAAATCATTCGAGAATCGAAAAATTAACTAGTGTTAGTTATCAAATCATTTGAGAATAGAAAAATTAACATTACAAATTATACACAAAAATATTATGCATAGAGATTCAAATTGCATCTGTCAAATAAATTCCTTGCCTGCCAAAAAAACGTTTGAAACCACTCTTCTTTTTCTTTTGTTCTTTGCCAGTACCTCCTGCTTTATCCAGGGTTGCCATGCCACCATATCGTTGCAAACTACCTTTGCTACCACGTTCTTCTTCTATCTCTTCCTCCATACCAACTACTTCTGTTTCAGCTGTGGAAGGAATGCGCAAAACTTATAACAAGTCTCATAAATAAATGAAAATAATTTTACAGTGATAATGTAGTAATGAGTGTTATGATCGATCATATATGAACCGTTAAACAGAAAAGATGCTTGAATGACAGAAAATAATTATTTCTATCACAGAGCAATGGTACAAAAATTTAACATTTTTATCATTCCAAAGGGTGATGATCGTCATACTGCACACATTTTGTAATTATAAAACCTGTCATGTACTATCCAGATTAGTGCGTAAAAAATTTAAATTTAAATTTAAGAAATGATTGAATATGTGAGGACGCCCTCTCTGGTCAACAAACTGTGCATGGCCATTGAGGGTGCCATGCCCTATTATGGGCCACATTTTGATTGAATGATGAGATAAGTCAAGCACTTAGAGCTAAACAATTATGTCATTAATACAAAGAGACAGTCAAAGTTATAAACATTTACTACTGACACTAATTTTACCTCATGTGTAGTGTATTACTGAACACATGCAGTCTAACAACCATTGCTTTCTGGATTATGGAACTTAATAGATAAATGTTTATAAATTCAAAACCAAGATTTTAAATATTTGATCATATTTCAGTGAGTAAGAAGAGAACAGAAGATAGACAACATTGAACCCATATTTAGATATGTAAGGAGCCAGGTATATGTAATGCATGTTTCTTGTTTGATAGTGATGTACCATATTTGCTCTATTAGAAGCATAACTCCAATACAAATGTATATAATGCACTACCAATAGAGCAAATACAGTAGTTACATGATGAATATTGTAGAACTTGGTCTTGTTCCAGCAGATATAAATAATTTCCTGTAGAAAACTAATTGCAGAGTAATTTTATAAATTTTCAAGATGTCACAAAAGCCAAGCATTAAAGAAAACATTGGCGCAGAGAATAAATATATATTACGAGACCATGGAGCTTCATACAATGGCTGATTTATTCTGAGTGATCAAATATCGCAAGAGACAAATTTTCACAAATTTCATGTGTTCCTGAAAATCTTGAAGCAATGAACCTTGTTTAATATGACAAAGTGTTAACTGTTTTGTAACTTTTGCAAAATTTTGTCTTCATGAGATATTATCAAGTTGCAAAAATTCCAAGAAACGAAAATTAAACGATTCACAGTACTGTAAAGTGTCATTATAAATTTCCAGGATTCGATAATTCAAGGTCATTCTCAATAAACAAAGATATCGTGAAAGTCATTGTAACCACGTCTTTGGGGTTTTTCCCTGAAAATTTGTCTTGCGAAATTAGAGTAGTTTTCAGTATATGCAGAACATACATGTAGATACAACAAAATAAAATATAGGACCGACACAAAAATAAATAAATAATAATATTAATATATAACATGATGTTCATTTATACCAATATTTCCTATTTACATTAAACTCTAGTTACCATCCACCTAATGAAAGGTAATTAATCAAAATTTATGATATATTTAATGTACATTTCCCATTACCAGTGTTCATTGAAGGGAATTTATAGTGGAGTGGATAGACAGTGGAGACAATACAATGATAAGCCTTCAGGTATACCTGTTCCGATCAAAGTCGAACAACCATCATCATTAGATGACTTGTGAAACCAAACACGTGGTAACAACGAAAATCAAAACAGGTACACACCTGGGGTACTTCAAATTACATGCCGATTTATATTTACATATTACCCAGCATTCTCTGTCTACAATTGCTAAAGGATTAAATCAACTTTACCTTTATCAGGGTGTGAAAAACCAATGGGTTGTTATGGTGACGAAAGGATATTAAGTCTACAATCCTACCTCATCAGGGTGTACAAAATACCATTGGGTTGTTATCGTCAGACATCATAGGAACCAGACTCAAGGGTGCTTTTCATTTAGTATTACTTACTACCTGGGTAGCATGAGAAGGAGGCTTTTTGCTGCAGAAGTCATTTTAGTATCAAATTTGAGTTTGGAAAGTACACCAAGAAATACCAGAAAATAGGAAGGATGCAATTTGTTTATGTTTAGTTTTCATGGGAGTACATTAAATAATGTCAATATATTAGGAAAAAGTGAGTATTAATACAAGCATTAACTTTTAACTAGTCACAGCTTTGTTGTTTCATTAGTTTAAGTAATAGGGACAAATAATCTGTTAAATATAGTTAATATTTATTAACATAATCAAGGTTAATGAACAATTTTATTATTGTTCAATCAAGCTGCAAAGCGTAAATTATGTTAATCAGTTCAATTAGTGCGAGTCACACTAGTTTGGGAGTTGATACACTTACCTAAATTTGGAGCACTGTTAGACCTTTTCCCACCTTTAACTTTAAACACACCCCTCCCATAGGAGGCGCTTGCTTTACCTAGATTATTTTCTTCTACATGCTGCGGCGGGGGTTCCTGCAATCTATCTATACCGTTTGAAGCTTGCTGCTGCTGCTGCTGCTGTTGATGTTGTAGTTGTTGCTGTTCAACTTCTATGGAATAAGGCACATCTTTTGGTTTCCGTGGTGAATTTGGTAGTGTACTGTAGTCTGGATAGGCAGGAGTTTTCTACAAAAATAGAGTCATAGAATTTATATAGCATAGATATATTTTTATCACATAAGTTTTATTTTCGTGACCTTTTTTAGTGAGAACTTATCGGCCATGAATCTAAGCGGTTTAGAGTTTCACAGCAAAACATCTAATAACTTAACTCTTGAAGCGTCAAATTAAATACAATATTGCTCTATTAGAAGCACATCTCAAACAGAAGCCCTGTAAACATAAAACTGTATTTGATTGATATTGAATCATTAAAATACGACTTATTTTGATCATTTAAACATCTCTGTAATATACATAAGCACATGCTTAAAGCATGCTATACATAATTTTTTCCACGAAGACCTCCAGGCAATGAAATATTTGAACTATTTGCTCAAAATTAACAAATGAAATGCAGCAAAATGCATAAAAATGTGTAGAACGTTGCACCAAAATGATGGTTACCAAGCAACCACATGATTTGCTTCACAGAGTCATGGAATAAATCATTTGTGAGTATCTGGTGGGTGTGCTTACTGCTTCACCAACTCATGAATGCCTTCATTTTACCAAATAATAGACACAACATACTTGAACACAAGTCATTGAAAATGACACTGTCCCCATTAAATTTTTGAAAGTTCCCTTTGTGCTCGTCATATTAAAGCAGAGGGATTGTCGCAAGCATGTCCTTGAAACTTGAGTTCCAAGTGGCGTATACAACAGATTGTTTATTTACATCAAACACGTGTTCCGTGTAGTAGTAATATGGCCAAAAATAAAAACAGCCGTTATTCGGCCATCTTTGATCTGATTATGAAACACACTGATATGTATGATGTACCGGTATGTGCCAAATATGAATGAAAATGGTACATAAATTGTGGAAATATAGTAGTAAGGCCAAAAAGTCAGATGGCTGTCAATCGGCCATCCTTGACCAGATTTTGAAACAAATTGTCATGGACATGCATCCTAACATGTATAAAGTACATGTATGTGCCAAATTTGAATGAAAACTGACAGAGCACATCCAAGATACCGCATAAAAAAACGAAAACAAAACAAGATGCCTGCCAGTCGACCATCTTTGATCCAATTGTGAAATAAATCGTCATGGACATGTATCCTAACATGTATAATCTATGTACCAAGTTTGAATGACAACTGACAAAGCATGTCCAAAATACAACATTTTCAAAAAACAAGATGGCTTCCAGTCGGCCATTTTGAATCGAATCGCTAAACCACTGCATGTGCATATGTCGCACAAATGGTACTCGGCACATGCAAAGAATGAACGGAATCGGTTCACAGGATTCTGAAATATTACTCTGGACAGACTGACACACGGATGGATGGACGAACAGACTCAGGAACTCACGAACGGTTGGGGACATGTATCCTAACATGTATGATCTATGTACTAAATTTGGATGAAAACTGACAAAGCATGTCCAAAATACAACATTTTCAAAAACAAGATGGCTGCCAGTCGACCATCTTTAATCTAATTGTGAAATAAATCGTCATGGACATGTATCCTAACATATATAATATATGTACCAAGGTTGAATGAAAACTGACAAAGCATGTCCAAAATACAACATTTTCAAAAAACAAAATGGCTGCCAGTCGGCCATTTTGAATCGAATCGCTAAACTACTACGACTCCGGACAGACGCACAAACGGACAGATGCACAGAGACCAAATTATAAGTCCCCGTTTTCGGACTTCGTCCGAAAAATGCATCAATGAAACTGGGGTAGGTCCATTTATTCAGTATAATGACAATAACAAGTGTTATGGATAGACGCAAAAACAAACATGAAACAGTTATAATTGTATAATTGGCGGAGCTGCATTGGTCCATGATAAATTGTATCAGTAA